GTCTCAAGTTACAGTGGGGGAGGTCTAGGTTGGATATTTGGAAAAACTATTTCACTAGGAGGGTGGTGAAGCACTGGAATGGGTTACCTTGGGAGGTGGTGGAATCTCCATCATTAAAGGTTAATAAATCCAGCTTGACAAAGCCCTGCTTAGGATGATTTAGTTGGGGTTGGTCCTGCTATGGGCAGGGGGCAGGACTCTATGACCTCTGGAGGTCTTTTCCCACCCTTAGATTCTATCATTCTATGATCCTTACACTATTTAATGCAGCAGCATTTCAAAAGGGTGGTGCCACACAGAACTCGGGATCAGCTGTGCAGCACTGCCCCTTTGAAACATCACCACGGCATTTCAAAGCAGCAGCGCTCATGGATCCTGGGTTCGGGCTCCATGAGGAACTGCCGTTTTGAGGTACCCTCCCTTCCCACCACCTCTGCTGCCTCTATTTGACAGAGGCAGCAAGGGGGGGGGGGGGAGATTGACTAGTTGACTCGACTATCTGATAAGCATCCTTAATTTAAAAATGTGATCGCAGGGATCAGGGTCCTGGGTTCAGTCAGTGGAGTCGAAAGTGGTGTTCAGAGATGTTCTTGATGTCCAGAAGTACAGGGTTTATCAGTTAAGAATCACCTGTTGATTGACCACTCGTAGCTGCGTCCTTCATCCCCTCCCCAACCAACCCTGCAATGGCACAGACTCTACACCCAAAGAAGTCCAGTTTCTCTGCCTCCGGGGATTTGGGGACAGATCCAAAAAGACCCTGTCATTCTTTGTGATATACTACTATATACAACCAATATACTGGCCACATACACTACCAATATGCCTGGTTGTGGGTGAGTGAAAAGGTGCTTGTAGCCTTTTTGAGGCATGAAGTACTTCCTCTCTGCTATAGAAGAAGAGGCTGGTGTCTGCCAAAGCACCTCACTATTGGCCTCTCTTGTTTTTTGAGTGGCAGAGGCACATCCAGGGCTAGGATGTCCATTACTGGGTCTGAATCTTCCACCACATCCTCCACATGGAGGTGCAAGTTCTGTGCCATACGCTACAGAAGGTCTTTATGTGCTTTTGTATCTATAGCAGGCAGCATGGTGATGGAGGTGCCTGCCACTGCCTTGTCTGGTGAGGAAGATGAGGAAGCTCCAGACAGCAGGTCCTCCTGTCCCTCATGGTCATTAGTGGGGAGCTCAGTGGCAGCCACATTTTGCAGGGTGGACTGTGGCAGAGGGATGATCTGAGGTGAGGGCTCAAGAGAAGCAGCTGCTGAGGGCAGCCTGGCATACAAGGCTTGTGGGGGATCGTGCTCAATGTCAGGGATCTGTCATGGTACTGTGGTGGCCTAAGGAGGAGCTCTCGGTGCCAAAGCTACTGACACAGCTCTTATGCCTGGACCTTCCGTAAAAAGCAGCTTGAGGAAGTGATTTCACTCCTTCATTTGGGGATGGATGCTCCTGCAAGCAGGGCAGCTATAGGCTCGATAGCCCTCTCCCAGTCTCTTAAGACAATCAATGTGAGGGTTGCCCTTGAGTATATGCTTTCTGCAGCAGTCACAGACTTGTGAGCATGGCATACACCAGTAAGGAGGATTACGATGGTGGGGGGAACCCCCAACAAACTTACAACTATAACTATTAATAACTATGCTAGAACTATGACTAATTAGCTATCTATAATGATGAATCAGGGTCAATCTGAGATGCTGGCAAAGCAAAGGATCAGAGTTGTTCCACTTCCCATGACCATCACAGGCAGCAAGAGGGAACAGAAAGGACAGGGACTCAGCAGTGTCCCATGTATGCTGCCATGGAGGCACCTCTCCAGGGGCCTCCATAGGTGCTCCGACGTGTACCGCAAGGGTAAAAACATTCTGACGATTGTGCACATGGTGTGTACACACGCCTATTGGAATGCACATGAGCAGTCACTCAAAGAAGAATTATCTGTCTTAAGCAAGAAACTGAGCATGTCTGCAAGGGGGTGGTGGTGGATGGGATAGAGTGCAAATGACAAACTCATTTTCAATGTATGGAGGGCTTTAAACCACGATAGGCTTGCAGATCTAGGAACTCTCTCAGATGGCCTCATTTTGAAAACGTGGGTGCCTTCTGAAGTTAAGCAGCTAAATCTATATTTAGACCTATTAATGGGTGCTTGTTTTTTGGCGGTGCTGAGCACTTACAATTTCCATTGGCCTGTTTCTGTGCCATGGCTTCAGAGCCCAAGTTCTTGCCTGAGCTACAACTTTAAGCGGTGTCTAATACAGCTGTTTTTAGAGCTCAAGCCCTAGTAAGCTTCAGCCTGCTGGCCCAAGCTGGGAAGACTCCTCCCATGGACTGTATAGATATACCCAGTGGTGCTCAGTGTTTTGGAAAAGCCGTTAACTTTGACAGAACCATGACTGCTTATATGGGTGGAGGATGTGCTCCTTGATGATGAATTGTATGAGGCAAAATCCTGGCCCATTGAATTTAATGACAAAAATCCCAGTGACTTCCCTGAGGTCAGGATTTCACTCATGATGACGAAGTAGGGATTCAGGCACCTAATTTCAGAGAACCAAGGTGAAGATATGTGCTTGAACACTGTTAAAAGGCTAACTTCATCTGCTGCTGTTCAACTTCTAATTGCATAAAAGCAGTTATATATTCTCCTAATACATCTTGATCCTTTCTATTTATCATACATGTTCCCTAAGAGACAAAATAGGGAAGATTTTTTTAAAATGTGATTTTTGTTGCAATGTCTATCTGGTAGTGTGCCCCGCCCCCTTCCATTAAATAGAGTTCCCACATGGATCAGTTCTTGGTCATCTGATCTTAGATGACCTTTTCCATCTACATTCTCTCACTTTGTCATTTCACATGAATCTTTAATCTTAACTGCCACCTTGACATTGATATTAGTCAAATATATACCATTTGACATCTATAACACCATATAACAGTACTCCTGTCTGCTCGCTCTCCCTTTCACTCCCTTTCACTCTCTGGAAATATTTAAGAGCAGGCTGGATAGACATACATCAGGTATGATCTAGACCAGTGTTTCTTAAACTATGTTCCGAGGCAGTTGGAGGTGTGCCGTGGAGAACAACAGAGTTCAAAATAGCCACCCTTTTCCCCCCCCCCTCAGTAACTTTCCCTCCAACCCTTTCTTCCCTCCCTTCCCTCCCCCTCCCCTTTTTTTTGCTGCTCAACAAAAAATCCTTGGTGTTCCTCATTTAAAAAAATTGTTTGGTGTTCCTTGGTCTTAAAAAGTTTAAGAAATACTGATCTAGACGGTCCTTGGCCTGCCGTGAGGGCAGGGAAATGGACTCGATCTCTTGAGGTACCTTCCAGTTCTAGGATTCTATGATTCTATATTTGCCCTGAAGATTTTCACAACTCTTTATAGTCAGAATGGAATGCAAAAGACCCCCTTTTCAATTCTGTCACTCTTCAAAGGGTCTCCATGCTGGTTCTCTAATAGTGATGTGAGAAATAAATGCAAGTAATCTCTCCAACACTAATGACGCTATAATATCAGACACAAAATGTGCTTCAGTGATTGAACTTAAACTACTATCTTTTAGCAATGACAGAAAACTGAACTCCATAAGAAACAACCACCACCACCAGGAAGAGAAACAGTAAAATTCCTGGCACAACTTGGATTATCCAACTCAATTACTTACCTTTTTCCCCCCTTTTTGCTCACTTTCATCTTCATTTCCCATTTGTGCTGACAGTTTTCAACATAGTTTAAAAATGTTTTCACTTGCTACTGCCAGCCACCTAGGTTCTATGCTCTGCTGAGTCATGCAAGCTGTTCTGGAGTTAGTCTTTCCTATCATTTTTGCTTGGTGAGAAGTTCTTTTAATTGACAATCAGTAGGGAATGAACTTTAGTAGTAGAAGTGTAACTGGAAACAACAGTATGTTAAAACGTACTAAAAACAAGATTATATTTAAAGATTAAATCTGACACAGTCAGACAGGGTTCTGTTTAATCCAAAATATCCAAATCTGAGATTTTCTATTTTATACTCAACTTGCACCACTTTCTGATTATGTCTCAAAAGAATGCGAACAAATGTACACTCAAAGATTAATACTGAAGGTCTGCAAGGCATTTTACTACTATATGTTCTGATGCAAGTGTTCAGAAATTTACTGAGTGACTGCAATCAATTGGAAGCAATAAAATTCTCAATAAAGTGCTTCTGACTGTAGCATGTAATTGCTACAAATACAATAAAACCATATTTGCTACAATTACTTCTGCTTTGTTAATCATGTACATTGTTTCATTTCTACCCAGTTGTAATCCAACAGCACCTGATAATGCTGAGATCACTGAATGCAGAAAGAATGTAATTGTAATTAATTTCTTATCTCTATACAATTCTCTCAGAGAATTTTAAGCTTTCCTTGTTCCAGCCTTCTTTTTATTTTACACCAAAGTTATTAATGGTGTCCCATGATTGAAGAAGGGTAAGGAATGAATATACTGTGTGTTACCACAAAATGACATTTGCTTTCATGATCACTCATATTTAATTGCTTTTTACCACAGATTTTAATCATGGTTTTCCATAAAATCAACATGATTTTTGTCCATCTGTACAATATTTCTACAAATTTTGCCCTCCCGCTAGCCAGATTTTAGTGGCCCGTGTCCAATATTCATGAATCAGCAGCTTCAGAAATATTCTGATCAATACTGTAAATCAGTGATAACATTTAGCTCAAAGAAGCACCATTTTTATCTCTGTTAATTATTCTGGCCAACTGAAGAGGGTTTGATTCCAACTCAAATGTGTGCTATTTGGCAATGAAATGAAAGAGTTACGCAATGTAGTTCTTTAAGTCATATTAGCATTCCTTATAGGCAATTTATTATGCAGTCTCAGGCCTGAGACGTATGAAGTCAGATTAGAAAGCTTTGGGTTAAAAGAGGAAGAACAGATCTGATTTACTGACTTTGTTGAGCGCACTGATACTGCACAAGAGCTCTTCTCACCTGTTGCAGAACATGCCTTTCCCTCAATGTCATTAATCTTCTGTGAAGCTCTACTAGTTCATCGAGATATGCCTGAAAACAATCCCCCCCCACACAAAAAAGAACCTGTTAAGGAATAAGTTGTACAGTAGTTCCACAAACTCCAGATTTACTCCAGAGTATTTATAACAGCATTTGCAATCTCACATGACTTGTTCTCTTTGGCTTGTCTGGGAACAGAACGTTTAACTCAAACCAACTAATCCAACGAATCCAAACCACCACTAGATAAAACTTTTTCACGTCATACTGTTGAAAAACTTTAAGGGGCCTTTCAAATAATTTCCCTGTATCAAATATTCCATAGAATTTCACAAAACCCTATTTGTTCGCTACTATGATAGAAGTTCACTTAATATCACAAGGGCCATTTTAAATAATGAATCACTGAATCCTGAAGAACAAGTTGAATAATAGGCAGGAAGTTTTAAGATGCATGAAGGCATCTGTAACAAAAAAAGTGAGCCAGTTGTTCAGAGCGGAACAAAACTCTACTCTCTGCACCCTAGAATTTAAACACTAATTCACCTCGGGGCAAATCCTTCCTCTCCAGACCACACACACAATAAACCCCCCACCATCTACCATACGCTATGGCTGCCCACTAGCATTTATGAAATAAGATGTGGGTAACAAATCTGGAGGTTACAGCCTGCAAAGTAGCTGAAACCTGGTCTGAGTGGGAGAGGAACAGGGGGTCGTGATCAACCTTACTCTTTATGATTACTTTTTTTCAGTTGTAACAGGTGATCATGGGATTGAAAAGATTGGGAACTGCTGGTCTAACAAAGCAGAGCTATGGCATAGATCAAAAACAATCTCGGAATGGGAAACCAAAGAGGAGTCTCAGACTCATGGTAGTACAGCAAGGTTACTACTTGTAAATTCTAAACCATTTTGGGGCTTAACATAATGAAATCTCCCAGGGTAAGTAACAAAACATTAAAATCCATATTAGAACTCACTTAACTATGGACAACTAACATTAAATTTAAGCACAATAATCCCTTTGTATACTGAGTACTAACATATGCTTAGCTAGTTAAACATGTTATGCCTGAGACTTGTATTGTAAGATCTTCAGGGTCAGAACTATCTGTTATTTGTTCTACAAAGCACCATACATATTAATGCACTGTACCCATAAAATAACAGGCAGTTAATCCCCAGCTAGCAACATTTGCAAAGCTTTCAAGGGACAATGCATGCAAAGAAATAAAAATAAAAGCACAATGCTGTATTTGAGAAGCACTTGGAGCAGAGATATACTAACTAGTGAGTTTTCTGTTTTGTAACAAAAATAGTATCATAAAAGGGATGTAGAAGAGGAAACACAATAACTTAATGTGTCTTTCTAAATAATTTATTGACATCACACTCACGTTTACCTTATCGCAGTCACCATTCTTTATTTGTTTATCTGATTTACTTTGCTTTATTGGACTTTTCACTTCTAGAATCTGGAAAAGAAACAGAAAAAGCTCTAAGTATTAAGAGCATCTTTGGTCTGCATGAAGTTTTAAAAAATTAAGAAAACATTTAACAATATCCTGTCACACAAAAACACAAAGAATACAAAAGTATCTGGAAGAAACCACAACTAAATGTTACAAACAGGATCGCTACTGTAAGGGGAAAGGAAGCATTTGCCCTGGGGCCCAGAGATTCAAGGCAGCCTGGAATTCTTAGCCACTGCAGCCCCAGACTCCTTTGCAGTAGCCAGAGCAACACTCCATGTGGCTCTGAAGGCTTGGGGGGTGGGGGCACGCTGTCTCCATGTGGCTCTGAAGGCTTGGGGGGAGGAGACACGCTGCGCTCTGGGTGGTGCTAAGGGCTGACTGCCCTCAGTCCTGCCCCTTCCATGAAGGCCTCACCCCTTCTAAGGGCACAGAGCTGGGCTCCCCCCACACCTTGCTCTGGAGCCTGCAATAGCTGTCGGTCCTGCTACTTGCAAATAACCCTTCACAATCTTTGACCTAACAAACCAACTCAATCTTTTTTTCTTAGCAGTAACCTACATCAGAAATCATAGACTCACAGGGTTGGAAGCGACCACAGGACAGGTTGTCAAGTCCAACCCTGCTGTTAAAAGCAAGTCCAACCACAAATATATCGTCCCAGCTAGGGCTTTGTCAAGTTGGGACTTAAAAAATTCTAAAAATGAAGATTCCACTACCTCCCTAGGGTAACCCATTTCAGTGCTTCATCACCATCCTAGTGAAATAGTTTTTCCTAATATCCAACCTAGACCTCCCCCACTGCAACTTGAGACCATTGTTCCTTCTTCTGTCAAATCCCCCCTCACTCTTCTCTTCTGTAGACTATATAAGACCTAATCCTTTAGCCTCTCCTCAAAAGTCATATGCTCCACTCCCTAATCATTCCATTCCTCACTTCTGTTCTAAAACTGTCACATAGTAGCAGTGTGCACTTTTGACTATTTGACACATTCTTTCCCTCTAAGTGACCGAATTTCAGCACTTCATTTATCAGTACGTCTTCACAAAGTGCTGAAATTCGGTCACTTAGAGGGAAAGAATGTGTCAAATAGTCAAAAGTGCACACTGCTACTATGTGACAGTTTTAGAACAGAAGTGAGGAATGGGATTATTTTCATTTGACTAGATGTAATCAGAATATTATTACAGTCCAATTTGGAGTGTGGCCTGTTGCTTGGAAAAGTATCATGGGCTGTGTAATGGTCACAAACAATTTGTGTGTGCCTGCTGAAACATCTGGGCTGGCCCCGCCCCCGGCGCACGCATGGTGCTGGCCCCAGGCGCATGGGCGACCCCTACCACGGGTGCGCGGCACATGCGCGATGCTGGTCCTGGGCTCAGGGCACGTGGGCGGCCCCCACCCCCGGGCAAGCAGCGCATGCGTGGCCCCACTGCCGGAAGCGTGGCCTCAGGGTGGCCCCACCCCCGGATGCCCAGCAGCCACAAAAGGTTGGGGACCACTGTCCTAAGTACTTATTTTACAAAGGATGGTACGTGGCCAGAATCCAAAGTATGAAACGCATATGGAAAAAAAAAATCTTGGATTTAGCAACCTAAAGGCTATTGTAGTTTAAGGTGGAGGAAGATGAATCGTCTCTTAGCAAAACGTAAATGCTTCTGGGCAAAGTGCCAAGGCTTTTCAGGAGTTTTGTTTTTGTTTTGGTTTAAGGGAAAAGCCTTTACCGGTTTACCCAGGAATGATGAAATATTGGTATATAGTAGCCTTAACATCAGAAACAGTTTTCGTATCATTTTAGTACCCTGGAACACAGAGAAAGCTTGAAGGGGTTGCTCACTTATAACCTGCCAAATGTGGCTACTGAAATTTTGTAGCTTCCTCACAATCTGTTGGTTATGCTCTCTAGTACCTAGTTTGGATGAGATGTGTCACTATCCATGTTAGTGAAAGCATACACAAAGGCTCATATTAACTCAGCACTGGTAAATCTCAAACCTGCCTGAAATTCCTTTAGTCATTAATCTGTATAGTGAAGCATTTTCCCTAATCTGTAAAGGTCAGGTTCTGTAGTGTGAAACTATTTTGTAACATAGCCCTGTTTACATCAGTCAGGAAAATTATGGTTTTTGCCAGCAAGGTTCTGCCATGTTAAATATGGTTCTAATACAGTCGCAATTCTAGTACTGGTAGGCTTCATTCCCAAACTTTACTTTCTACCTCATCTGTTAAGACAGTGTAGGGATGCTGTAACATAGCAAGCTGTTCATCTATTATGTTTTTAAATACACCATGATGTTTGGGAGAGACTAAACGAGCACATGGAAGTTTATGGCTTTCACTGGAATAGACAGGCATAGCATCAGAGACAGTAGCCAAATAAGTTTAGCCTAGTGAAAGAGATTTCCCTGAACAGAACCAGGTAAGATTTCAAAAAGCAACTGGCTTGGATTATCCGTAGGAAGATATCATTCATTTTACTTGCACTCCAGTCTCCAAAGGCAGAGTGCACAGAAAAAGTGACAGCTGAAAGGAAATGGAAATGCTACTTTATTTATGTTTGTAAAAGTGATCTCCCTCCGAAGTTCATATATAAATCAATTTGAAAGTATTGGAGAATTTTTGACCTATTAATGCTTACTGACTGTGAAATGGCATGGACATCTGTTATTACAGGTGCCCTGCTACACACAGACCATGTCTTTTTTTCTACAGCTCCTTCTGCTCTAATTGAGATACATAAATTTTTCATATATTGATGTTATAACAAATCAATTTGTGTGCTGTGGGAAAAGGAATGGATGGTGTATTTATATCAGGGAAGATCAATCATTTTTCTGAAGCAAGGCAAGGAATGCTGTCTAGGCTCATCTGTAGTTACTACCGAAGTTAAAAAAAAAATAATAAAAAAACAGTGTGGATTGTTTTTGTCCACATTGACACTATGCACATGCACTTATTTTCAATTAACTTAGCCAGGCTATATGAGAGTTTAGAGTGTAACCAAGTTTCCTATTCAGTAGATATGTGCTCGGTTTTGCCACCAAAACACAGTACAGGCAGTCCCCGGGTTACGTACAAGATAGGGACTGTAGGTTTGTTCTTAAGTTGAATCTGTATGTAAGTCGGAACTGGCGTCCAGATTCAGACATGCACTTATTTTCAATTAACTTAGCCAGGCTATATGAGAGTTTAGAGTGTAACCAAGTTTCCTATTCAGTAGATATGTGCTCGGTTTTGCCACCAAAACACAGTACAGGCAGTCCCCGGGTTACGTACAAGATAGGGACTGTAGGTTTGTTCTTAAGTTGAATCTGTATGTAAGTCGGAACTGGCGTCCAGATTCAGCCGCTGCTGAAACTGA